GATATCAATTCCAGCATTATTGATGAGCACATCGACACGTCCGTATTGTTTAATGGCAGTCGCGACAATAGCCTCGCATGTTTCGCGGTCAGCGACAGATCCAAAAGCCGCAATTGCATTCCCTCCATCTCCTGTTATAAAGGCCAAAGTCTCCTTCGTGGAATCTTCAAAGAGATCATTCAACGACATTGGCACCAAGGCGGCCAAACAGCTTCGCATGCTCCCGGCCTATACCTCCTCCAGTACCGGTAATGATCACTACCCTGTTATCAAATCGAAGTTTTCCACCGTCTTTGGACGCCATGCTGAGAAGTCCGCCTCGATCTTGTTGTGATTTTGTCCAAAGTATTATACTCGATATTATTTCTGAGGTCTGGCTGCAGTTGAGCTGGGTATAATACCCGGTTGCCTTTATGCTCCTGTGGTGCCAAATATAGTCAAGAATAGTAGATTCTTAACCCCGCTTCTCACCCTTAGTCCTTATGAAGTTCCCCGCATTATGGTCGAGAATCAACGACCACCCAGTAGTTAAGCAACTGGTCCTTTTATCCTTGCCCACATTACAGCCTAGCCCAAATCCAGTCATGGTTTGAGTTATCCTTCGTCATAGTTTCAGGGTTTCTACTTAGATTCACTCCATGCATGCACGTAGAAAAGTAGGTGTTTCTCCGATATGCACGCAGATCTAAAACTATGTCACACTCAGTGTTGACCTTGCGCATTTCGTTCCTTGAGATCAATCTCTTTTAGCAATGACAAGGTAGCAGCAAAACGAGTTAGAAATCACCACGACATATGTATTGAGATGCTATAGTGAATCTATCGAGGAATTCATATCAATTCGCCAAAAACTGGCTTAAAACCACACCAGCTGACCCTGCAGCGCTTATTTTACTAGCGAGGCGGTCCATAGGGTGGCCATATTCACGCATGGGCTATGCGCACTACGTACGCAAGGAATCCCAACTGCGTTGGTCTGGGAACTCGCTATAGCATTTTTCTTTCTTGTGCGTTCCAGCATTTGACCTACATACCTACACGTTCCCAAAATTCATTAGTAAAAGGATGATGAACATATGAAGAGATCCTTAAACATACACGATATTTCAACCCAAGACCGCAACTTGGGTCAGTGCTGCCGGACCCTGAAGTACAAGCGTAGCCAGCACAATAGGCTCAAGGGACGAGGGTGTCGAGTAGCGCAAGAACAGCGACTGAAACCTTTATCTTGTTGAGGTAGTTACGGGATCTTGTAGCCGTTGAGTTGTTTTAGATTAGGGTCTCCAAGGGAGAAGATGTAGTTTAGACTTCACTGAAGAATGTTGTAGAATGTAGTAAAGAGAATAGGTTAAAAAAAGCAGCTGTTTTATATCTTCTCACAGTGGTTGACCGAGAATAGGCCCTGAGCTATTAGAACCACCTAAGCTGACCTTAGTTCAAATTATGATATAGCAATGCTACTCTCGTGTCAGCCCATGTCGGACATATAGTCAATCAGAGTTCTCTATTATGCCAATGTTACGTTACTTCAGATGTACGGATATCAAGAAACTCAGCACTAAACATGATCATAGTATTTTTTTACTAGTAGCTATTTGAGAGTGGCTCCTCAAAATCACGTTTGAGAGAACACTGAGATCTCACACCACTACCCCACCGTGACGCAACTTCGGTGCTTCGGCCAGCGATGATATATCAGGTGAGATATCCGGTAGGGTATGCTCTTGCTGGCTACTATATCGAGCGAACGAGTGGTTCAGGGGTCCAACGGTATGTTCCGTGGAAGGGTGATATGATTTATCCCAACTGAAGTCCTGAAAACAGTAGTTTTTATACTTTATAATGCATTCTCACCGCCACTCTAAGTATAGATTCTATATCCAAGGCTAGAGATACGGTCTGAAAGCGGTTCATCAAACTTCTGCCATCGTCAGTGTCAGTGATCATGATAAACTGATTTTCATCATTGAGGAAGATAGTTCTGACGAACAAGACGTCTACGGTATCGAACTGTACTTATTTCTACACGTTAGGTCTGTTTTCCTAGAAATCTTCTACTCTGTCGGATTCAGTCAGGAAAATATAATTCATCACCCACTTCGCTGACGAAGGACCTGCGAATTCATGGATTGGAGTCGGATGTGTTACTTGAAAGAGAAATTTGTAAACCTCGTAGAAAGAGAGCACTGGCAAAGGTATTGGAAGTAATCTGCAAAATGACCGGAATGAGCGCGCCTATTTATGGAATGGATACTCATCTCCATTGATATACCCTATGCTCATAAGAATGATAAAACTATCAATCATCTTATTTATATTAAAATAGAATATCGTCGTTACTCCGACCAGATTGGCATCAGTGATTGCCAATATATTGAAGCGCCATCAACCAAGTCTACCATGCGAGCTATTAGTTGAAATTGTAGATACCTGGTCCACATTTGGACTAGCATAGTTACTCACTGCGCCCATGTCCTGGAAAAGAAATATTCTTAGTGACGGTTGCTCATCATTATGTTTTACAGGAAAGCAAAGGAAGTATGGTAGAATAGTATTTCTTTTATTATCTAATATGGAAAGATAGCCATTCATATAGAGCGCTGTAAATATGGCTAATGTTGTGTTAACTTTGGATTCTAAGCCCAATCGCTCCAATGGGTGTTGTCTCTATAGGAGTACTCGTTACTCAATACATTCGCCTTCTGCGGACCTTCAACCTCGAGAAGGTAACCCAAAGCACACATATCAAAAGAAACTTTTGGTTGCACTGAGTAGAAATAGTCATACTTCTCGTGCATGGCGTCTCCTAGTGTGTTGACATTGCATTGGGGATGCAAGGTTTTCCACGGTTTCACACATACCTCGCCCTTGCATGACTTGAGCACCATGGTGAGCGCATCAAGTCGCGTTTGCAAAGCATCGATCTTGAAATTTCCGATTGAGCTATTTGATCCCCATAGATTGTGCATCTGGTGAAGATCGGTCTGGTCACAGTCAGAATCAGGCACAGCATCCGGAGGCAGACGCGGGACGGCTAACCTTCATGTCATAGAGCTCATGTTCATTAGTGCACCATACTGTATATGATATGTCATAATCAGGCGATACAATGCGCAGACTCTTATATGTATTGTTTGGTAACTTGGCATTACCGCTGTAAAGTCCCTCGCCGAGGCTTGGACCCCAGAACTCCACATTGACATGCTCGATTTTGGCATCTTCAATGTCCGCAGTAGCTATAGGCATAGGTGTTCCATCAAATTGCTTTCGCAGTGGAATGTTCGCGAGTTTGAGTATTGTAGGCGCAATATCGGTGTGGGTAGTTGGAAGCTCAATAGTATGGCCTTTGGGCACACCTGGTCCACGAATGAACATAGGTACGCTGATATCTTCTTCATATGAAGAGCATTTGCCTGGGCTGAGACGGTGTTGACCAATGTGGAAGCCATTGTCTGCAGTGTAGAAGATGAATGTGTTTTCCAAGACATTCATAGCTTCGAGTTTGTTCACTACTGCCTCGATAAGGTCATCAACAGATGCGAGCGCTGCAAGTCGAAGCCGATAGAATTCGTCGTTATAAGCAAGAACGGTATCATTTAGTCGTGGTAAGCCTTTCACGTAACTCGCACCACTTGCCTGTATTTACATGTTAAAGATAGCCGCTATAGATTTCAGTGCTGCTTACCATCTCAGGGTTGAAATTTGGCGTGCGTGGCACCTTGACCCCATGGTACAAATCCTTGTATCGCTCCGCAGGTACAGGTGGGTTAAAGACAGCCTTGCCATCCTCAAAGGTGGTTTCTGAGTGAGGAGCGATAGGCATAACTCCAAGAAAGAACGGTGCATGTGATTTTGCCGCCTCTTCGAGGAAGCCAATAGATTTGTTAGTAATAAGATCTGTGCTGTACTGCCCGGGATAATTCTTTGGGGGTTCTCTGTTGCGCTGCATTGTGGCGTTGTTGTAGACGTATGTCCCTGGGTCGATCAAGACTTGGAGGACTTAGTATAGAATCTTGAAAAGTAACAAGAGAGCTCAAACGCACAATCGGATCCATTCCACGCATTTGGATATGGGTTGTTATAAGTTGACACGGAATGAGAGTTCATCAACTTCCCAGTGTAGTAGGTATTGTACCCTGCTTCCTGAAGCCAAACAGGCAGGTAATTATCATTGAATCCTCTCTCTATGAACTTCGGATAACCACCTGTTTTGACTGTTAGATTTGCCACAAAAATGAAGAGGTCAGTCTACCAAATGGTGGGGAGACATCTGTAACATTGGTGTTGTGCCCCGCCATGCCCGTCCATAACGAAACCCGTGAAGGACAACATACAGACATTGTTACGAAATGATTTTTGTATGTGACCCCCTGGGAAGAAAAGTGTTTTCGGATTGCGGGTTGGTAGTCTAACGAGTTCATTTGTAGGTCTTGGTCGTCTGTCATTATGAAGACAAAGTTCGGCCTCTTTCCTGGTTGCAGCAGGTTTGGTGCGTTTAATGAAGCGCTGGTGGTAGGACCTTGGCACAGCAAGCATTGACGAGAACCTCCAGAATTGGACAGCGCGCCATAAAGGAGTAGACTACCTGCAAGTAGTAGAGAACCAAAGTTAAAAGCCATTCTTAGTAGGTGACAATGATAGTGACAAACTTGTAGATAGACTACCAATAGTCAGTGCGCTTTTTCCTTAAATATTCTACAAGAACTAGTTCATGACGTGATTTTAGTGCATGTGTGCGAATACAGACCCACCAAGATTAAATTTTGTTGCGCCCATCTCTTAATCACATCATTATTAAGAGCGATAACGGGAATTTATTATCTGCTGCTGAATGAGTGCTAATATTCCTTAGTTGATAGGGGTCTTTTAGGTGAGCTAGCACACTTAGTCGAACAGTCTCACCAATCGACATCGAGAGTCACACTTCAGCTAGAGTATGGATGGAGCAATCTTCAGCATTTCACTAGGTGAGGCTTATATACAAATAAATATAGCGGTTTTTACGACATATCGAAATCAACATACACGCTCGCTTCCGTTTCGTAGATAATATGGTAATAATTCGGCACTCTACCAAGATAGATCAATGACTCCCTGGTCTTCCCTGGAATATTGGTGCCCATATATCACTACCATAAAGTTAGTTTATTCTTCTTTTAGCGCTCAGTAGTAAGGATGCGTTCGCAAGCTTCCATATAAACTCCTTCCATTCATCTTCACTCCGCTCATGTGCCTGAATCTTGCGGAGCGAATTTCACTCCACGTAGTTGATCATTTGTAAAATCTAGTTGCCCTGTAGCTCAGCACACGTTGGTTCATTGCACAAGGTAGTTGGGGCTTGCGGGCCGTATGTGAAAAACATATTAGGGAAGCCTGCCACTGCCATGCCGAGATACGTCTTTGTGTCGTCTTTCCAGTGTTCACTCAAACTTTCGCCCAACGAGCTGCGGATGTCGATCTGTTTCAAACCTCCTGTGGTTACCTCGTATCCCGTCGTGCTGATGATGTAGTCAAACTCGTACTCATTATCAATGGTTTTAATTCTGGTCTCAGTAATTTCCTGGATCGGTGTACCCTTGTCACGGATGTCAACCAAAGAGACGTTCGGTTTTTCGTACATCTTAATGTAGTCATTCTCCAGCGAGATGCGTTTACATCCAAAGGCGTAAGGTTGTTCCATCGGTGCAAGAATGTCCGCAACCTTAGGTTCTTTGATCCTAGCTCGTGTCTTGTCCCGCCAGAAGTTGTATGCTTCACGATTAGCTTCTTGAGTGAAAAGCATGTCGTTGTATTTCGCAAGCCAGAACTTGAAGTCTTCTTGTTTCCATAATTCTTCATATGTTTTTAGTCGTTGTTCTGGAGTATCATCAAAGGTTGAGCGTGGAAGAAAATTAAAAGAGAAACCTGAAAAGCTACCTGGTCATTCAGCAAAAAGCTTTGAATAATTGGGCTTGGGAATTGCTTGTTGGGGAGCCTCGTAGTTCACTTGTTCCATTGGCAAAGATATATGCAGCGTCCATTAGAACCCAGTAAGATGGCCCGCAACCTTGCTTAGCTCTTGAGCCAATTGAATGCCAGTTGATCCAGTGCCGATAACAGCCACCTTCTTGGCTCGGAAGTCAGGCTCTTCATGAGGCCAATTCGATGGGTGTAAGAAGGTTCCTAGCGCAAGTGGTTAGTAGGCTTCATAGAGACATATATGCATGCTAACCTTTGAAAGACTTTATTCCTTTCCAGTTGGGAATATACCGCTTCGCTGCAAAACCCGTGTTCAGCAGTAGGAACTTCACTTTGTAAGTCATCCCGGTATTAGTCTTCAGAGCCCATTTCGCATCATCGTCACCCCAAGCCGCTGACGACACAAAGTTATTGAACTCCGTGTCCTTCCTCAGGTCCCATACCTTGGCCACGTTTTGGAAATAGTCGCGGAGCTCCTCGCTGCCTGGAAAACGTTGCTTCCATGTCCATTCTTTCCATAATGCTGGATCAGAGATTTCATAGCTGGGAACAGCACTATCGACGCGTGCACCGGAATACCGGTTCTAGTACCAAATGCCTCCGTAATCTGATCCTTGTTCCACAAGCTTGACACTGTAGCCAGCATCTCGGAGAATCTTAAGCTGGTATACACCACCGAAGCCTGCACCAGCGATCAAAGAGTCGTACTCTTTGAACGAAGCGTCATCGGCGACTTCAGACGGATCCATGTTGTGTCGCACAGCTTCACAATGTACCACTTGAAACGGATTATGACGGAATAGAGTGAACATTACGGCTTTCGTCGCCAGAGGAAGAAAATGAAAGACTCCATTAATTTAGAAGGGAATGATGGATTTATCCTCGGAGAGTGAGCGTCTTGGTCACCTCAGCTAATTGAGTACCACTTGATATGCACGGCCGTCACATGCGCAGAATGCAGTATATTGGCTTATCGATGATCATTACTTGAAGTGAGATCCGGACGAATGGTGGTAATAAGTGTCGGTCGAAGAGGTATGTATGATATGTAGGTGTTTAAAATCATTCAGTTGTGTGGCTGGCAACTACTTATTGAAGTCACCGAACTATGATTCCTACCCACACGGGGTGGTTTGTGGTTACACTAACTTCCACAATAGCATACTATGGCGGCTGGAGCGGATATTCGATGCGGAGACCTCGCTTCTGTCCTGCGATCCTGCGGAAAAGGGCACATGGGCGCGCATCAGCTGTTGGCACGCCTAATGCCGCTCCTACAATAGAAAAACAACACGGCGCATTAATTTCAACTTGGGTTTCTCGGAGCGCTCATCTACTATCACGATAACTAGTGTCACGCGGTTAACCACTACCCTTCTATCACACCGACATCCAAGTACAGCGCACGGCACGACCAGGCTACCGTACCTTCGTCACACTAAAGTGCTAGGCTGCCACACGGAGCTTATCACGTCTCGTTTCTATCGCGCGCCCACCGCATTCCTTCACGAGCTGATGCGTCTTCTAGAGTACGGAGAAGATGGTAACCTTACGATTACCAGCTTCGATGACGACGCGATACCACCTTATGCGATACTCTCACATACCTGGGGGGCGGACACAGAGGAGGTGACCTTTAGTGACATCACAAAGGCTGATAGCAAGCATAAGCTTGGCTATGAGAAGATTCGCTTCTGCGGAGACCAGGCACGAAAGGATAAGTTGCAGTACTTCTGGGTTGACACATGCTGCATCGACAAGACAGACCTGAATGAGCTCTCTACAGCAATTAGGTCTATGTTTCGCTGGTACCAAAACGCGACCAAGTGCTACGTGTACCTACCTGACGTTTTGGCAAATGAGCAAAGATCAGATGAGATGTTTGCCCAGCCCTGGGAGCCTGCCTTTAGGTCAAGTCGTTGGTTCACACGCGGGTGGACGCTTCAAGAGCTTCTTGCACCGAGCAAAGTAGAGTTTTTTACTCGAGAGGGAGAAATGCTTGGTGATAAGACGTCGCTAACGCCATTGATCAGCAAGATTACTGGCATCCCACCCCAAGTGCTCCAAGGCACACTTGCCCAGTTCGACATCGAAGAGCGCCTGCGTTGGAGAGGGCACAGACAGACTAAACTAGAAGAAGATATGGCATACTCATTGTCAGGTATCTGTGATGTTGATATTGCGCCTATATATGGCGAGGGCGAAAAGGCAGCTTTCGGACGGCTGCATGACAAGATACGAAAGTTGAAAGACTGCGTCCGCGACTTGCGTTCCAGTGACCCTTATGATGATAAGAAACGTATCGAGGATACAAAGGGCGGACTGCTAGCAGACTCCTACCGCTGGGTTCTCAACAACACCACTTTCCAGCAATGGCAACAGCACCAGCACACACAGAACCCACACACTCAGCTGCTATGGATAAAGGGAGATCCTGGTAAAGGGAAGACGATGTTGCTCTGCGGCATCATCAACGAACTGCAGCAGACCTTCACTCCCCAAAGCACTCTTCTAGCGTATTTCTTTTGTCAAGCAGCCGACCCACGAATAAATAGTGCCACGGCTGTGCTACGAGGCCTACTATACATGCTCGTTACTCAACAACCATCTCTTATGTCGCACGTTCTCAGGAAGTATGAGACTGCTGGAAAGGCCTCCTTTGAAGACGCGAATGCTTGGGTGGTTTTGTCGGAAATCCTCGAAGACACACTTCATGACCTACACCTGCGCCCAACGTATTTGATCATCGATGCGCTCGACGAGTGCGTCACTGATCGACCCCACCTCCTAGAGTTCATCGCCAGGCATTCATCTATATCTCCCCGAGTGAAATGGATAGTTTCGAGCCGTAACTGGCCAGAAATTGAAGAGCACCTAGAGCAGCAGGCAGGACACCAAGCGACCTTGAGCCTCGAGTTGAACGCGGAGTCAGTTTCAGCAGCAGTTGATCTCTTTATAGAACGTAAGGTGGATCAGCTGGCGCGGGAAAAGCAATACAAGGCAGAAATTCGCGACGCTGTACTGCAGCACTTGAGGTCGAACGCCGGCGATACCTTCCTCTGGGTGGCGTTGGTGTGCCAGGATCTGAGGAAGACACCAAAATGGAGCGTGCTAAAGAAGCTAGCTTCAGTATTCCCACCTACACTGGATTCTTTGTATGGGCGAATGATGGACCAGATAAGCGAGTCAGACTCCGCCGAGATCTGCCAGCATGTACTGGCTTCTGTTGCTATCTTGTATCGACCTGTCACGATCTCTGAATTGTTTGCACTGGTGGAGCAACTTGAAGACGTAAATGACCTAGAGACGAGGCAGCAGATTATCGGCTACTGTGGATCCTTTCTCACATTGCGAGAAGACACAGTCTACTTTGTGCATCAGTCCGCAAAGGACTTTCTCTTCGCGAAGGCATTCAATAGCGAAGTCTTTGTAGATACGATCGAAGACGTCCATCAGAACATGTTTTCAAGGTCGTTGTCCATTCTAGACAGAACATTAGGCAAGGATATGTACAGTTTGGAAGCGCCAGCATATCCTGTCGAGGACATCGAAACAAATGGTCCAGATCCGCTCGCTGAGTCGCGATATTCATGCGTCTACTGGATTGACCATCTGTACGACTCGAAGCCGGAACCTTCACAAGTTGCAGACCGAGTTGGCGAGTTTCTGAGGGAGAAGTACCTTTATTGGCTAGAAGGACTTAGTCTATGCAGAGGTGTAGGTAGAGGCGTCGTTTCGATGACAAAACTGTGGTCTTTAGCGCAGGTAGGTTGCCCAGATCATGCGTTGACGTGACTATACTGATGCTGGTAGGGAATGCGCAACCAAGAAGAGCTTATCCAGATTGTTGAAGATGCGCGCAGATTCATCATGTACCACAGGGGAGCGATTGAGGGTTACCCTCTTCAGACTTATGCATCCGCAATCCTCTTCAGCCCAACGGGCAGTTTGATCAGGCAATTGTTCGAGCAAGAAAAGCTGGACACGATCAAGATCAGGCCAGTATTGAGCGAGGGATGGAGCGCGTGTCTGCAAACGCTCGAGAACCATGGCAGTGATGTCACTTGTGTGACCTTCTCGCACGACTCAACACGACTGGCATCAGGATCTGAAGACCGAACTGTGAAGGTGTGGGACGTCAGCAGTGGCGAGTGCCTGCAGACGTTTGAGGGCCATGAGGATTATGTCACCTCTATAACATTCTCGCATGACTCAACACGACTGGCATCAGCATCGGAAGACAGTACTATCAAGCTGTGGGATACAAGAAATAGCGGCCTGTGTCTACAGACGCTAGAAGGACATAGTGACTGGGTGAACTCGGTGGCCTTCTCACACGACTCAAAACGGCTTGCATCAGCTTCGGGTGACAGAACTATCAAATTATGGGACACAGGTACTGGCACGTGTCTAAAGACGCTGAGGGGTCATAGCGGTAATATTAGGTCCGTGGCTTTCTCGCACAACTCGACACGGCTAGCATCAGCCTCCTTTGATACTACTATTAGGATATGGGATGTAAGCAGCGGCACGTGTTTGAAGACACTCAACGGCCATCGTCTTACTGTCAGGTCTGTAGCCTTCTCTCATGACTCGTCGCAGCTAGTTTCCGGGTCAGAAGACCACACGATTAAGGTGTGGAACACAAGTAGCGGTACGTGCATGCAGACCCTCAAGGGACACAACGATTGGGCAAACTCCGTGGCCTTCTCACACGACTCAACACGGATAATATCAGCGTCTGGTGATGGGACTGTCAAGGTATGGGATCCAAATGGCACGTGTCTGCAGACGTTCGAGGGTCATATTAGTACTGTTAAGTCCATCGCCATCTCGCACGACTCGAAGTGGCTGGCATCAGCGTCGGGTGACAAAACCGTCAAAGTGTGGGATGCAAACAACACGGGTCTGCAGAAACTCGAGGGCCACAGCGGCACTGTGAGGTCCGTGGCTTTCTCACCTGATGAGATGTGGCTAGCTTCGGCATCCAGTGATAGCACTATCAAGATATGGGATACGAATAGTGGCGCATGCCTACAAACTCTGGAAGGTCATGGTAGCACGGTTACCTCTGTGGCTTTCTCCCACGACCCAAAACCCCGGCTGGCGTCGTCGTCTAGCGACCTGACTATAAAGCTGTGGGACGTCAGCAGTGGCACATGTCTGGAGACGGTCACCGTTGACAATCCCGTCTTCGAACTCTCATTTGATGTCACTGGTGCTCGACTTGTTACTGAAACAGGCACCATCAACATTCAGACCTTAGAGATGTCGTTGCCCAGCACAATGGATTTCCCAGGGCCGACGCGCCGCTCGACAGATCTGGGGACTGGCTTTAGTTCAGACGGCATATGGATTCAGCATGATGGGAAAAACATGCTATGGGTACCGTCGGAGTACCGACCGTCACGTTCGGCCGTTTGCGGGACCATGGTTGGCGTTGGTGTTGGGTCCGGCAGAGTCTGGATTTGCAGTATGGATCTCTAGATCACTCGTTTTCATCTCGCATTCGAATATAGTGGCTATAATTTTGGTACAAATATACATTTTTCAATCCTACCAGGAGGTTTTCTTTACAGGTCTCTACTCGACGCTTTCCCTTAAAATAAAACATAGATAGTATTGCGTATCTAGCCATGTGAGTGTGAGGTGAAGAAGTATAGCACAGTGCTATGTATGCTTGCGGAAACCAGCTAGCATTAGTCGCAGTTATCTTAGGTGCCTCTTCTATAGGTGCGGAAGTACTGTCGAATCAGTCACAGGTGTACAACGACATCCGAGCATGGCCACTGAAACTACTTTGCATCCGGTTGGATGATAGAGAAAAGGAGCAACATATTTTCCTTTGTTTTTGCTATTGGTAAATTTCCCTCAGAAGCGTAGATAAAGGCCTCGAAATTCTCTCTTTGAGACAAAAGCATTGGAAGAGAAAAACAAGATATCTACAACTGCAAGAAAGAAAGAACGAGGTTGCAGTATGCATCTGAAAAATGCATCTCATTGCACCTATTACAAGGCCGCTATCAATCATATCCATGAGTAACTATGTGCGCAGCCGCCGACATGTTCATGCCCTTCACTGCTTCTCCTAGCCCTGGCTACGTTCTTCTTAACAGTACTTGCAGCTTCTCTCTCTTTGGGAAACCCGCCCAAGAAATTGCATACATAGCAACTGCCTCTGCGACACCCATGGTACGCAGCACAAGGGCATCCATGTTAAGGTTGTTAACAGTATCGCACGCTGTGTGGTAACAGGAGTCGTACGGACTACCAGCCTCTCCACCAAACATTACAACTTCTTCAGCAGTCTTATTATTTTTGCACCAGTAAAGGTCCCGCCAACTGGAATTCCCTCGTTAAGAAACGCTTCGTAATCAGAACGGCCGTCAAATTGAGCCGCGGTATAATTCTGACCAGCAGCTTGAAAGTATTTTTTGGGATAATGCTTGTAATTCGGCTGAACCAGAGGGGCCAGCGGTGCCAAACGCCTTACCGTCGCCGTCATAGATAGCATTGACGTAGTTGGGTGAAGCAATCTAAATATAATATGTAAGGATGAGGGCCTTTGGCGGAATATTGGTCCTGTTCAGGGCCGGCAACATACCATATCAAAGTTTAGATAAGCGCGAATCTTAGATTTCTCTGCTGCAGACAGGGTCTGGAGAAAGTGGGATGAACCCGGATGCTGGTATAATTCTTCGGCAGTCCAGAACGCAGAGGTTACAGCACTGTTGACTGTATATCCTGAAAGTGCTCTTGCGACTTCAAGGAGAGCATTTATACCACTGCCGTCATCGTTGATACCCGGGCCAGCGATAATTGAATTGGTATGAGCACCGAGAATGAGCTTGTTGTTTTAGTCGTCAGACTCAGCAGTTGCAAAGACATTGGATGTGGTAACGTTACAAATGTCCATAAAATCTTAGCATGATCCTGATTCCTTTGCGATGTAAAATTAGGAAAAGAACTTCGAATCGATCAACGTCATTGGGAAATTAATTTGCAATCTGCCAAACTGTGCTACGCGATGTCGGACGAGTCTCGTTCTTTGGCTCATCTACGGATCAAGTCGCCAATTGGCCAGATCATTTTCAATTCTGATCAGCATTTACCTGTCGAGATATCGAAACTAGCATTAATGTTTTCTCCGCGCTTGAGAGTTTCAACAATAGGTTCAGAGACATCCTTGATGATATTTAGTGTGGGGACGTAAGGACCCTGAGGGCGTGGGGGAGGAAGAAGCGTTCCTTGCACAGGGCCGTCATCACTGATGCTATACAAGATAGCTCCAGAGGCGCCTAAAGAGCCGGCAAGTGCCCATTTGATACCAAAATCCCAAATTCTACGGGCAATAATGGCGATCTTTTCCGCTAGGTCTGCTGGATAGTCGGTCTATATTGTTGCAATTTGGTAAGAAGTCGGTCGTTACACCATAGACTCAAAAACATGCCTTGCTACATCCACCATTGACAATCATTAATGGCACTGTTACTTTCCCACTCGGAGAAAATTCGAATAAGGAGAATGAGGACTTTGGCATCTTACTGCCATCAATCGAAAAAGCATTGACAGCGCCAGCGAATTGAGCAATGGCCCAGACAGACTGGAGAGAGACGTCGTATTATTTGTTCAGAGCCTCAAGTCTTTCTTTGATCCACGTAATCGTCGCTTCGTGTCCAGGGCGAGAAACCATTCGATTTCTTTCGTTCGTAGCATAGGCGAAGGATTACAACTGTTGAGAACCTACCCATAGGTTATCGCGCGAAATTTCTGCTTTCAGAAGTTCCCAATGCGTTTGTCAGCTAACAATTTGTTCAGTACTTTAGCTCTTCCCAAGAATGCCGTACAGGGTTTACGGGGATGTTGCTGCTCGCAGAGATGCAAGCAGAAAGCGCGCCAATCGTAGCCAAATATCTCATGTCACATACTTACTTTGAGCAATAGAGAGTAAAATTCCTATGGAAGATAGTGCCTCCAACCTGTATTATATAGTTTTAGATTGTGCAGCCGTTATGCCACGGATTCGCCCGTTTCGCAAAAAGTTCCGGGGTTGCCCCGGCCAGTGAAGAGTAGTACTGGGACCGAAGTGAGTAGTGCCAAATGCATCATTACGGTGGTACTATATTTTGGGCGTGTTATAATCAACAAGAATTGAGATGAGGTAAGAGTCCGGAAGAGAAAATGTCTCATCACACGATGCATCCTAGCACGCTTGTTCGGACGCCAAAGATAGCACATGCAACAGTGTTGAGTGTATGTAAGCAGTCATGTTCGAAAAAATGTTGATGTTACTATCTCAAGCTATCTTGAACGCTACCCCAAAAGGATCTCGAAAGAAATCTGGACAAAAATCAACCAAAGTAAAGCCCGTAAAGAAACTCAAAGAAAGAACCACTAGCATGCAGTAGTCTAGGAGAGATGCGATGATAGCTGGAATTCTCTAATCAACGCAAAAGATTGCAAGCCCATAGGGACCAACGCTGTAGCGCAGTGCAATGCACGGATACCACCATACCAACCCTCCACTACCTTTCCCATCCTCACCTCATCCACCCCTCTAACACCCTCGCCTCCACCTCCCTCACCAAAACATGCACATGCTCCAAACTCCTCACACTCTGCAAATTCGTCGTATTCTTAAACCAAATCACCTTATCACCCTTCACGTCCTCGCCGGACTTGGCCCTAAACTCTTTATCCACAAACGCATCCACCATTCGCTTGCCTTCAGTACTCAGCGCGCCCTCCGCATCAACGGGGAGTCGCTGCTTGAGCCACACGACGATATGCGTGATGCCATCTTCAAATGCGTACGTCCAGTCGTTTCGGAGAATCTTGAAGTCTGCTGTGTCGGCAAAGGGCATGGGGTTGGCGACGTCAAAACGTAGTGCGCCCGTGTCATCCTCAATGGGCTGCCAGTGAAGGCGTTGGTCGAGGAGGTACGTCATTATGCTGCCGTATTTTGCTTTGGCGTGCGCCGTCCATGCGAGATATGCTTTAAGGGAGCTGGGCCAGCGTTTGAGCTCTTCGAGCTGGTTTGCAGAGATGAGTTCGTGTAGGTTGGACCATGAGTGAGGTGTGAATTCTGCGTCCGTAAGGGAGAGCTGCTGCCAGTCGATTGCGGTGAGGGGGAAAGGTGGGTTGTCACGTGGAAACGGAAGCGCCGTTGGATCAGGGTTGGATTGCCATTGGGCTTGGAAGACGGACGGAAGAGATGACTCGTCGATGCTGAACTCGGGTGACATTGCGGTAATAGTGTATTGTGATTCCTGAATTATCCCTGGCTCACTATCTCATATGTGGGGTGCTTGAGGCCAGAAACGGTACTATTTCGTGATACTTGCTGGTATGACGACTGGATTTCGATTGCGGTGAAGGTGTGAGCTAAGCACAGAAGAAACAATCAAACTGCGGCGGTACAAAAGAGTGAGCGAAAGATCTCTGATAAATAAATCAGCAAATGCATCTCGCCTCAACGTGTCTGCATATGGGTACGGATGCTTTACCCGATTCGGATGATTACAGCAGCCTATACTAGAGTATCTTACATGTGCATAATCACAACGTAGCACGACGTAGATGGAAAAAACTTGGTTGATTTTGGACCCAAAAGATGGACAGAAGAAGCCTCAGATGGGTATCATGACATGTGTTCAGACAAACCTACTCTACTAGCTGGCCGCTCTACAACTTTTCAAGCAAGATTCTTGTGCCCGCATTTCCCCGAGGCGCAGCTTCCGACTTCTCGCCCTTTTTCTGCTTTTTACCCTTCGGCTCTCCATTCTTGCTGCCTGGAGGGTTGGCAGCAGCTTCCAATGCCTTCTTCTCCTTCTTCAATGCTTTCAACACCTCATCCTTCTTTGCGAAGCCTTCAGCTTCGGTCATCGACACAACAACAAACGACCCTTGGCCAGTAGCCCAGTCAACGATCTTGTCCTTGATCTGGGGCCAAAGCAAATCTGCAAAACCAAGAGCGGGCTCAACAGGAACAACCTTCTTCGCGACTGTGTCGAATTTGCCGCCTTGTACAAGCATCTTGAGCATGTTCTTGCCATGACTGGTAGCTTTGTTGTCGCCAGCTGAAGCGGGGAGAGAAGAGTCCAGAATCGACTGAGAAAGGCGTGCGACTTCTGTCAGGGCCTCCTTGCGCTTAGTTGGCTCGACCTCGGGTGCTCCAACAAGGACTTCGCCCATGAATTGCAATCCGAATGCAAACGAGGCAAAGTTCGCGGCTCGTGCAGTGACTGCTGTCAGCAGCTGCGGTTCAATGTTCTTTGCGATCTCCTGCAGACGGACATTTGGGTCCTTCTTAGATGTTGTCTGACGAATGGCGTATATCTCAGCCAATCGCTCCCTAGTGTTGTCGTCCAACAGCCACTTGGCATCGGCTGCGAATGGGTATAACAGAACTGTACGTGCGCGAGCATCGTTCACAAGGTTGAGCACCTTTTCGGGAAGGGAGTCGTTGTTCGGGAGGAGTTCGCTGAAGACGGATTTCGCAGAGAGCTTGGTGTCATCTGTGACAGCCAATGCGGCAAGAAGAACGTGGTGAGCATGCTGATCGTAGGCCATTATCTCAACAGTGTCCTTGTATGGTCGCAAGAACAGCTTGCGGTCTTTTGCAGTACCGTACGCAAAGCACAGTGACATGAGTCTTGAGCCTGATTTGGTGAACGCAAGATTCTTTAGCAGATCCACATTGTCGGCCTCCTCGCCTTCCTTTAGTGTCGGATCGGGCTTGAGGTGCTCAAGGAAATCATTTGCTTGCTCGGTGCCGGGTTCGCAGACTAGGAAGTACTGCAGCATAGCGTCGTGCAGCATGGTAAATCCAGTCAGTTTCTTTTGGATGAGCGAATTGATCTGGTTCTCCAAGTAGTCCATGATTGGCTTCTTCTTCTCAGGCGACTCCTTTATGATGGCTGAGAGCTCTGCGCTGTCTGTGCCTTGAGCTCCAAGACCCTTGATAGAAAACTCAGGTCCGTACCACTCTCGAAGTAGGCGGTTCTTCTGTTCGGGGGTAGCGACAGCTCGGTAGATATCGTCGACTATCCATGCGGCTTCGGGGTGGTTGATCATGCGCTTGACATGGCTGTAGAACTCGGTGATGATAAGGTCGCGAATCTCGGGGTCACTGTCAAATATTAGTACGGATATTGCCTGGAACATGACCGGCGAACTCACCCCTTCTCTACCAATTTGGCGATCAAAAACTTGGAGTATTTGCCCTCGGCCAGAACCTTGAACTCTCCCTTCAGTTCGCGGGCAATCATTCTCCTTTGCTCCATGGTTGAGTATTTGATAGCAGTCTGGATGACACGCACAGAGTCGTGCTTGAAGACGAAGTCTTTGACCCGGCCAGTTATGATGTCGAACAGCTCCTTGACGAGTTCCTTCCTCTCATCCTTGTCAACGTGCGACTTGAGCCTAAGCTTCTCCCAGAGTTTTTTGGAGCGCTCAATGATGTCCGCATTGGGCTTCGCGGCCTTGCGTTCTTTGGCAAGTGCTTTTTGTTTCGCATGCGCTTCCCGCGAGTTGCTTACTGGAATTACAGTTAACCAGAGGCGTCAATTAGAGAATGTATCGAATCTTACCATTCAATCCTGCCAATTTAGATTCCACACCATCGCCCTTGGGCTTTTTGGAGCCATCGCTTTCGTTCTTAGACTTCTGTGTCTTGCCGTTGGTCTCTTCAGCTTCTTCACTGCTTTCCGCATCGCTCATCTGCACATCCTCGCCGTCAGCAGCAGAAAAGCCGTAGAAGCCGTTGTCCTGTTCGCTGGTGTCTGATTCTTCGAGTTCGCTAGAGCTCTCTTCCTTGGCCTTCTTTGCCTTCTTTACTGGCTTGACCTCGTGCTTGGATTTGGTCTTTGACGCCGACTTGTCAACTTTGACCTTCTTGCTCTTATCCTTGACCTCAGGCGCACTGCTTCCTGCGGATTTGCGCTTGATTCCGGCCATGGTGGGTATGAATATGTGGTGTTGCGGGCCTGAAGTCCGTGGTCGCAAAAAGTCGCGACTTTCCCAACTTTTTCTCGAAGCGCGGGCCGGGATTCTGCCACCACTAGGCCCTAAATGGGGATAGTGCGGTGGATGTCCCACATGCGACCCATCATCGTTCCTGAGTACTTCGCGACAATTCCATCACATGCTATTATCAAGTATGAGTGATCATATCATTGCAATGTCTCTTGTAACGGTTTGTATCATTCAGACTACCTACAAATCTTAGAAAAAGTATCATTATCAGTGAGATGAATACGTAGTTTTTCAAGGAAACGAAATGACCAAGCATTGAGCTGAAGACTAGATAGTATCAGACGGGTATCTAACACGCCTATATCTCGTTTCTGTACAGTTATTCAGTGCTAGAATGTAGTGTGACATCTTCAAGCTTGTTATAGAATGCTTCTTCAGCCGGGCTTAGAGTTGAACAGCCCAGAATCATAACCTATAATGCAAGACTTCTTATCGTTCTCTCCGCCCCTTTCCCTTCGCTAGTATCATCCAGTAAATCTAGACTACCATAAAGAATTACTCACATCGTCCTCCTACCAGTCTCTCAAGCAGCTGCAGCAGCGCCAAGCCCAACCACTGCACTCACAATCGATAAGGCACGTGCCACCGCGCCGGCAACCCTGCGTTTTGCGCCTTGGTCCCATCGTCGCCTTTCATTTTCCCTCACTTCTACTTTGAACACTCTCCACGCCCTTCTCGCTCCAACACACCCTCACAACCGCCGTAACCGCTCTCCTCAACCTTCCTCCCCGCAAACCCCCGCTACCAGCGCGAAAATAAAGATGTCACAACAATACTCAGGCGGCAACACCGCAGACAACCAACCCACGACCGTCGACGCAACCGCCCGAACCGTCCACTACAAGTGCGGCGACTGCGACATGGACGTCCCGCTCAAGCGCGGCGAGCCAATCCGCTGCCGTAACTGCGGTCATCGCGTTTTGTACAAGCAGAGAACGAACCGGTAAGATGAACTTTTCTTTTGTCCTTGTGTTTTTAAACCTGCGAAGTCCGTGGGTGAGGGGGAACAAGGGAAGCAAAGGCTTTCGTGTATGTGAGAGAGAGAACACAAAAAAAAGCTAACGAGACTGGGAAATATAGTATGGTGCAGTTTGAGGCGCGATGAGGGCGAGTGCAAGCGATACGACGAGTTTTTTTAATGTGCGTGAACGCGAGAGAGAGAAGAATGGGGGAGGTTCATGGAATGTGAGGCAAGATTTGGAACGAAGAAAGCGATAGCAGGAGATTTGAAAAGGAAGCTTGGGTGGATGTAATACTTTGCCAGCGGGGATATTCGTTCCCCACAAGCACGGTGTATGGCGTTGGAAAGGATAACGGGAAAGCTCCGTTGGTACCTCAGGAATGTAAACAGTACAACAGATCGAACTGTCACATCAAAGCAACGGGAGTGGGTCGCACCTTTCTTGAGGCAGGCTTTTAGCTATTCAGTACCAATAGAGCAAGGACATACCAATACAATCAAGTTCTAAACACAGTTTAAGATGATTCAGATGACATATATATCTTCTGTAGTAAGCTCTTCCAATTCCTGTCTTATCCACACCCCTTCGCCTACATTTTCTTAATAAGATGCACTGGAAAAAAACTTTACTTTCGCTTTAGTTTTGATATGAAAAAAAACGTTCAAAAGACCGCTTGAGCTCAAAACATATCCTAGAAACATGATTGAAATAGCTTGATATGACTATGCGCCCGTCGCGTTGGTCCGCCAGGGAAAGACAGGGTGTGCAGAGAAGATACAAGTACGTGTAGAATTTGAACTCGGATAATGTGGGTATGAGAACCTTTGCATCTACGAGCCGCGGAAGGCATCGAATCGCTTATATGTGTATCCAATGAATGGCAAGCTCGTCGCGTACTCGTCTTCACCTGCCTGTGCTGCCTGCGCCCTGTGAGCAGCCGATGTGTCGTTTTGGTCAATCTCATCAATAGGGAAGTATTGCGTGTCAATATTGGACTGCAGCTTGGGCTCGAAAGGAGCGCGAATGCGGCGCAGGCCATCCCATGACACGCCCCGGAAGAAGGGGTGCTGCTTGATTTCGTTGGCGCCACCAATACGACCGAGACGATGATCAGCATCACAGATCAGTCTACGTTTGTTAGCTGCGAACTAGAATAGTTATGGATGTGTGCAAAGGCATACCTTCGAACAAAATCTTCAGCCTCGGTGCCAAGCTGTTGGTCTGGAGGGAAGTGCAAGTTGCGCGGCCAGTCGACAATCTTGCGGTAGGTATCGTGAGGCTCTTCAGCGCAGAACGGTGGCCAGCCGATAAGACACTCGAACATGATTGTGCCTACCGACCACCAATCACAACTGTAGTCGTAGCCCTGGCCGCTGAAGATCTCAGGCGCAATGTAGTCGGGGGTACCAACGGTGGAGTAGGCGAGCTGTCGGCGAGACTTACGCCATGTGTTGATCTGAGTACGGTTGCTGACTGTCAGCTGGATCTGATCGAGATTCATTGACTGTCGGTTGTCGCGGTTTGACTTGTGCGCGCCACCAGCAAGCAGCTTCTTGTAGTACCCAGCATCGTGCTCCTTGTGGAAACCGGTTGACAGACCGAAATCCGTCAGCTTGATGTGGCCGCCCCGGTCGAGAAGAATGTTGTCAGGCTTAATATCACTTGGGAGTGTCAGTGAATCCATGTTGGAATATCATTGCCGAGATACATACCGATGTATGAAGCCAAGCTTGTGGACAGCTTCAATTGCAAGAGTAATCTCAGCCATGTAGAAACGTGTGATATCCTCAGTGAAGATTTCATACTTGATGAGCATGGTCATCAAGTCACCACCGGGCAAGAACTCCATGAGCATGTAAAGGAAGGTATTGTCCTGGAAGGTGGTGTGTAGTTTGACAACCCATGGGCTGTCGGACTCGGCGAGAATGTCACGTTCTGACCGCACGTGCGCCAACTGGTCTTTCTTAAACTACTCAAAGTCAGTCTGATGAGTGTGATATTCGTTTCGAAACAGTCGCATACCATTTCCTGCTTGACGAGCGACTTGAGTGCATAGACTTTGCCATCATTGCGTCGTTGGACCAACTTGACCTCTCCAAAAGCACCCTTGCCGATAATCTTGAGGGTCGTGAAGTTCTCAGGCTTCTCTTTTGTTCGTAGGAATCGCAAGTATTCGACTTCGGCGCGGCGCATGCTGTTTTCCTTGCTCGCTTTCCGGCTATCGGAGATGGAGGGCTCCTTCATGAGCGCCTCGAGTTCAAGCGCTCTACACCAAGGTTAGTCGACACATATAGGGAATGGGGAAAAATCCCACCTTTGGTTCCTGTCGCGTGCTCGCTGGACACTGTCCTTGAAGAAGGTGTTGATAAGGCTCTTGGATACCATGGCTTGCTTTTCTACATTCTCCGAGTATTTTCCGGGGTTCCTTTGGGGTGCCTCTTCGTCGTAGAGCGAAGACGGCCGAGGTCCCGAGCCACCTTGACTTCCATAGCCATATCTGTTGTCTGCCGTACGGGGACGCTGGGGGTTCGGGGAGCCTTGGCGGCCATAGGGACTTCCTGAGCGGCCGCCTCCGAGATGCTGGTGTGAGAGTTGTTGGGCTAGGCCGTTGGCACTTTGATCAAAGCGCTGGCTACCTTGGCCCTGGAGGTTGCCCTGTTGTCCCTGATATTGCGCTTGCTGGTAGGGATTCATAAAGTAGCCGCCGCTGCCATAGCCATTGCCCTGTTGCTGGGCACCCCAGACCTCTTGCTGGCCAGCCTGGTTCGGGTACACAGGTTGCGGGAAGGTCGAGGGGGTCGTGGGGAATGCTCTGCCAGCTTCCTGCTGGTACTGATTGTTGCGGTCACCGTTATTGAAGCCAAAGTTGAGCTGGAGCCGGTTGGACTGCTGGTTATTGTTGTTGTTGCTCATGGTGGGCCTCCGCAATCGCTCTTGAGGGGGGAGTCGGTGTAGTGAAGGATGGGTATCAAGTCGGGCTCAAGACGAGCAGTAGAATGGGCGATATGCCTGGACAAGGAGAGCAGCAGTGCCACAGGCTCACGGGATTGAGGAAAGATCCACGGCGATTATTGAGGAATCTTCAGCGCACTGCTGGCAAGAAGAGGGAGGTGCTGGGGACGGCCGCAGTAGCTCGGTCAGGGATAAGTTTAGGGCGCAGGGACCAACTTCAGGCGGGGAACAGACATGGCCAACAGCAACTCGGTGCGTTTCAAAAAGTCGTTTGTTGCCCAACTCCGGGATTATGGTCACGCCCGTATACAGCCTTATCCATTCTGCTTCTGCCCCCACGGTCAGATCGAGTCATGGCTGCGCAAGCTCGATTGAAAAGTAAACTGCACAGTTGCTGTCAGTAAGTATATACTAACATGTATATGTGCATGCGCTTCGAGGCCTATCGATACGTACGCACGCCACCGCCCACCGCCATCGGCCCAGCTTACAGCACATGTGGATACACAGAACTCAACCAAAGCAGCCACGCGAGAATGTAGCATGAATTGGGTCAGTGGCACAAAAACGTCGCGCGCTACTGTGTGGTGGCGATACACTCCCAAATGGGGCACGTGTAGTAACACGTGGCTACTGACAAAGGTACGGTCAAAGGCATTGATTGAGCGACATTCGACCATCATCCATTACACCATTATTCTAGTACAACTACAACATGCAGACCCTGCGCGAGGGTACAGATCCATCCACATTGAGCAAAATGCTCCCAAATAAAACTCTCCCTCCGGTCACTCTCCACTGTAGACCGCCGCGGGTCCAATATAGAAAGTCGTGTAACACTGTACCGCCGACGGGTATAGAACATTGTCGGCCAAAGGCTGCCGACTGCCCACAGGCAAAGGTATATAATAAGACAAGATATGTAAAGGTGAAGTGTAGTATACGTATGATCGTGGCACCCGTGGTAAATGCAATGGGTCGTTTGGAAACGCCAAAGATGCAATAAGTGTGTGTGTGTGCCCAAGACACTATAGTCATATCGAAGGGGCAGGCGGTTGGTAGAAAAAACATTATGTGGTGGGTAAGTGTCGCAGTCTCGTTCACGCGACTTAGGCAGTCGTGGCCATCAAGGCCTTGACCTTTTCGCGTTCGGCAAGAATTTCAGCTTGAAGTCCTCTGGTTTGCCTCATAGCCTCATCCCTATCCCAATGTTAGTGACAATCATCGAGCATGTATGCAAAATACGTACCTCTCAAACTGCAGGTCGGCCACCTCCATCTGAGCGAGGTTCATGCGGCCGACGACTTCTTCCATTTCGTGATCAGCATCACGGAGAGCCTTCTCGAGCTCCTCTACTCGCTTCTCGAGCATCTCCGTCTTAGTGGCCTCGGCAAACGTCATAGCCGGTCCGCTTGTCGTTACCGTCAGACGGGGAGACTTCTGGGCAAAGACTGGAGATGTTGGAAACTTGGGAGAAAAGGCAGAGGGACTAAGCAGTCCAGACTTGACGCGGCGCAGGTGGTTGGTGTGGCCCTCCTTGAGAGCTTGCACCTCGCCTTCGTGACGGGCAATTGCCTCTTCTGACGACTGTTGGGCAAGCATGACCTTGTCCTCTGCCGCCTTGAGCCTCTTCTCGAGCTGGACAATCTGATCAGTAGACTTTTGCTGCTCTTGTTCTCCGCGGATGATGGCCTCAGTGAGACGTCCTCGGAGAGCGTTGTTGGCGGTCAACTGGGTTTGAATCTTGTTGGAGAGTTCATCCATTCGGGTAGCGGCAGCGAACAACTCCCTGCTGAGCTGCTGCTCCTTGCCGAGGTGTTCAATCTCGGATTGTTGGAGGGCACGAGCTTGCTGGCGGTATTGCTCAGCTTCGCGTTGGGCGTAATCACGCTCTGCCTCGGCATCAGAGATGCTTTGCTTGAGCAGGTCCAGCGTCCTCTCTGTTTCAGCGCTAGCCGCCCCAAGCGAGTCTGCGTCACTTGTTTCTAGCTGTTTCACACGAGCAAGAGACAGTGCGTGCGTAGTTCGCAGCTCGTTGTAAGCCTTGTCCAGAGCCATGGGTTCGTTCTCGATGCGGATTTCAGGTATGGTGATGTCGTGTTCTCGGAGAAGATCACGGAGCGAGCTGGTTTCTTGCTGGGCGCGGTCCAGATCCATTCGCAATCCACCCAAGCCCTTTTCGCACTGCCATTTCTGCTCGAGTGCTTCGTCTGCACGGCGTCGAAGAGAATCGACCTCTCGTCGCAGTCCCGTGACCTCCTTGTGGAACGCAGTTCGTCGGGGAGTGAGATTTAGAGCAGCATCCCTTTCGGCCTCTACCTCTCTAATACGGCGCTGGAACTCTCGTTGCTGCATCTCCTGTCGTTGGAGTAGATGTTTCAATGCTTTGTGTAGCGCATCTCGCTGCTCTTCGAGTTCCTTCATTGGGTTGCTGACTGCTGGTGCACCTACAGGAGACATGTCACCTGATCTATCCTTGACAGAGTTGGATCGTGACAGTGAACCCCTCTTGGAATTAAGACCAGCGGAACTACGAGCTAATGAGTTTGAGCGTGTCAGACCAACGCGCATGTTTGATAGGGGCGTGATGTCGGCTTCCTCTGCAATTGATTGAAATTGGACGGGCTGCCCCTGTTGTTGTTGCAAAAGCTGTTGCTTTCGGGTTTTGGCGAGCGATTCGTTTTCGCTTCGTAATTGTTTGATCTCTTGCTGCATGCGGCTGGACTCGTAGACGAGTTTTTCAGTATCGGCGGCATCTGCCTCCAAGACTTCTAGTCGAGCTCTGAGCTGTGGAACGACTTCGTCGCGCAAGTTGTCGGCCTCGTTGCGATGCTTCTCCAGCTCTTCACGGAGGGCCGTGAGGAGATCTTCAAAGTTCTCCTTAACCTGCCGCTCCTCAGCCAGACGCCTTTTGGCATCTTCAAGAGACAGTGCTAGTTCTTTGACCTGTGGTGCTTCGACTACCGAGCCTACTCTTGACTTGTTGCTGACCTGGTCTTCAAGCTGTTGCACTTGCTCCTCAAGATCTCGGCGTCGACGAAGCTCTTCTTGTAAGCGCTCGGCCATGCGTACTTTGAGAGAAGCGCGCTCTTGCTCGGCCTTTCTCCGCTGCGTGTCCAGCTCTTCAAGCTTGGATTCTGGATCGGTAATGGGGAATCGAACAGAGCTGGTGCCGGAGTCTGAGTAGTAGTCACTGGTTCGTCGGTTATCTGAGATGCCAGTGGAGCTTTCGGCTTTCCACCGCTCCACCTCATCCTCGAGTTCCATCTCTCTTTGAATCGAGGCAGCCAGCTCGGAGCTGACCTCGCGGAGCTCGCGCTCCAGCTCCTCGACGTGAGCATTCATCTGTGGGGAAGAGGATAAAAGTGGGGTTCCGGGGACGTTGAAGTAAGATCCCATAGAGTTGGCAGCTGGTATATCCAGACCGATAGGCTTGGCCTTGTTAGACCTGCTGAAGCGCGGAGAGTCTAGGTTTGGAGAGTGTTCCGAATAGCCAGTACCCGCAGACTCGGGGCCGTTTTGAGCGCGGGAGTTCCAGCCAAAGAAGGAGGTGAAACCTCCTCCTCCCGGGGACTTGGGCTTGTTGTTTTGCTTTGATCGTGAGTCTGCTTCGGGACTGTACGAGTAGGTGTCCATGAAGTCGTCTGTAGCGCCGTCTATGTCTAACTTTGGTTGTGGTCGTTGTGCGTTGTTTGTGTTGTTGTACAATGGCATATTAGGCATGGTAGGAGAGCGGGCGTGTATTCCGCTGATGCCAAATGCTTTCAGGGCCTCTGACCTGCTTTGCTGCTGGGGGTGTATGCTGCTGGCTGGTCGGTCATGCCTTGGTTCTGGCAGAGCGGCCGTCACAGGGAAGCTTTTAGGGGACGTGGATGCAGGTTGCGGCGTAGTTCCCGTCAGAGGGGTCCGTCCATGCGGGTTACTTGGAGAGGAGTTAGCTAGGGCAGGGGAAGGCGCAGGCCGGCGGCGGGAGAGCTTACTCGTCAAGATTGCGAGGCACGAAGAGGTCTTCGTCAGTGACAGGCGGCGCAAGACTGGTATTAAGCGATGGTGCGGCAGTAGTAGCAATTGGCCTATTAAACTGATCGACAAGAAAGCGGCCTACAATGGGCGAGTCTACAGGCAAGGGCTTTCTGCGGACGGGCGGCGACTGGAGGCCGAAGGGAGGAGCAGGAGCAGGTTGGGGAGCCTGGGACCGAAAGGCAGCAAAAGATGAAATGGCAATAGAGGCGAGGGAGGAGCCCTTTTGGCGTGGCGGCGAGGCTGGCAGAGGGCGCGTGTCGGCGCTGGACGCTTGGACGGTTTGCATATTGTCGTGTTATTCCCCCGCGACACCGATATGTAGGTACATGACCTTGCACAAATGGGGAGCTTGATGAAGGTCGAGGGGGTCGCCAAAGACGGTTGCTGGCAAAAGGAGAGTTTACTAGCAGGATTAGGGCCAGGAGTGGCCAGACGCGGCGCTTGGGGAGCGTCGTCTGGGCAGATCACCGCGCGCGAATTGGCTGGAGGAGGGCGCTTGTGCTTGCGGACCTGGCCTGTCATGGGCAGTTCGCGCTGCCTGAGTCGAGAATGTGTGCCGTGCCAGGGGGCAACTGGGGGGCTGCGCTCGGATCTGCAGGTACACGCCTTTATTTTTTATCCGGCCAATTGGCGATGGTGCCTGGCTAAGTCGGGATGCTCGACATAAGGGTGTCCTGGCCGGGCGAGGTGGGCATTGGAAAGCGATGCGCTACTCTAGTAGTCCGCTGCCGGCATGCAAATGGACAGTCAGCATGAGTCTGATCAGTCTGGCATGTGTCGCACGCTCCGGCTCGAGCTTGACATGTGCGGTGGCGGGGGGGTTGCTGGACGTCAAAGGATGAGGCCGTGAAACGCTCCGCAAGGCCCTCAGACGAACTGCCTCCCCCTTGGAGTCGAATCGGGTCTCGGCTGCATTGCTGGATTACAGTAGACTGACAGATAAGTAGTAGACAGCACACCACCCACCTACTATTCTGGGGCACAACACCACCACGCCCGCCCGCAACGGGTGGCTTGCATTGACCAAGATCCAGCCATTGCGTATCTGGCTCGCGCACGCAATTTCGTGCACCGCCCGAATGGGCTAGCCTGTGCCAAGCTTACCACCACCACCACCCGCGAACGGCGGGCTGTGCTTGTCGCCGCCGCATCGCACCAGACGACGACATGAACAGGACCCCTGAAGCGCAATCTAATCCTGCTGGCCAAACCCATCATCCTCCTCCTCTCTCGCCCACGCCGTCAGGCAGACTAATTGTACTTGGTCGCATTTCCCACACGGACTCCCGCACACGCTCTCACACGGCAATTGACCTTTGACCCTGACCTGCATAATTCTCATGCTCCCACTATGCAAATACCCCTCTCCCCTTCCCCAGTGCTATTTTCATCCCCCCCTCCGACTGCCCTTGCCCGTGACCCTTATCTGACACTGGGGGCCACCCCATCTCATTCGTATACTTACACCTAACGACATGCTTAATGCTCCGATACGAAGAGCCCCGCCGCCGCGCTTAATGCCGAGAACCCACCAGCCCTTCCCTCAACGCCATCCTCCCACCCGCCCCTCGTCCCAGCGCTCTTTTCGCTCCGCACGGAGATAGGCAATCTTACGCCCTTCTCTCAATCGGCGCACAAAGTCGGTTACTTCGCGGTCACTGGCTACGGCATCTCCGCCGCCAAATCCTTCGCCATCCAAGAAGCTCTCCTCGAGTCCTCGACACAGGGCTTCTTGCTCGCCTACTGCCGCACTCAGTCGTTGATACAGCGCGGGCGGGCTGAACTCCCGCAGTGCTTCGTCTTGCTCGCTCTGCTTTGCTCTCCATTGGCGCTCCAGAGCACGCATCGCTAACAGACGTGACTGTACGTCATCGCGCTGGTGCCGCACGTGCGCTTCAAGCTGCTTGAGTGATTTGGCAAGTCCTATGTTCTGTGCTAGTAGTGTTTGCAAAGGTGCTGTGGATGCAGGTAGTGAGCCATGTCTTGTTTCGGGATTATGAATTATTGCATGCTGTAGTTCTGGCGTCTGCAGCACATGATGTAAATCCTTGGTCCTAACCCGTACCTTAGCAGAGGCCTTGTCGACGACGTGTAAGAGCTGACGTACGATTTGTCTTTGAGCACATCCGGCAGCCAGCCATCCTCTGGCCCTGGCACTGCTAGTTGGTCCGGTACTTGGTGTCCATGTTGATGATACTGTGTCTGCGAGTGCTGCTGCGGGTCCCCAGATGACGATGCCTGGCCTGGTGGGGGCGGCAGCGGAGGGCCCTGAGATGGCGTTGCTGTTCCACTCGCGCGGCCTGGCTTGGGCGGTGGTGGTGGTGGTGTCGATGCGTCGTACTGATAGAATTGCTGTGAATGGCGCGGGGACGAATATGCCATGGTATGTGCTGCGACTTGAATGCTCGTACGTAGGTAGTGGTTGCATGACGCGGGCCATGGGCGTTGTTGCTAGCGCGTCGAGCTGATCTGATCTAATCTTATCTCATCAGCGCACCCCTGCACTGAGGCCACAGCAGCGTCTACTTACACTTTGAAGCTGTGGACACGTCTGGACGCGCCATTCTACTGCCTGCGCACTCTGACCCTCGAGCACTCTGATCCTCCCTCTCACTCTACTACATCCAGCCACCTCTCCCGCAACTGGCTTAGAGCAAAAAAAATGGTACGCATACCCTCCCCCGCCAAACAAGCAACCAACGCAGCCCGCTAACCTGGCATTGTCGCAACACAGGCCAACGTTATAGCCAACTCCGGCCACGATGACATGATAGTACGTTTGCATACACGCCCGCATGCCTATTTGTTTTCTCCGCCGGGGCGCTCTTGCTGGCGCAATGGCCATCTCAATTACAATGCCAGCATGTTCGGGGTGGCTGCTAACAAACTATAGCATGATGCTGTTCTGGACTACTATGGCCGACGATTAGCGACTTGTTCTTCAGACAAGACAATCAAGATCTTCGAAGTTGAAGGCGACAAGCACACATTGGTAGAGACGCTTAGAGGGTACGTCATAGCCAGCCAGGACTGTGCAACCAAGTCACGATTCACCGCTAACGCATTGACAGACACGAAGGTGCTGTATGGAGTGTCGCATGGGCACACCCCAAGTATGGCAACATCCTCGCCTCCTCCTCGTACGATGGCAAGGTCCTCATCTGGCGCGAGCAGTCCAACAGCTGGCAGAAGATTTACGAGGTCGCTCTCCACACTGCCTCGGTCAACCTTGTTGCATGGGCACCCCACGAGGCAGGCTGCCTACTCGCATGTGCTTCCACCGACGGCAACGTCTCTGTACTCGAATTCAAAGACAACAACTGGACACATCAGCTTTTCCAGGCTCATGGAAGTGGTGTCAATAGCGTATCATGGGCTCCTGCTATTGCGCCTGGACAAGCCGTCAGTGCGGGTGGCGCCCAAGTGGCTGCAAGGCGGCTAGTGACCGGTGGAAGTGACTGCCAGGTCAAGATCTGGGAATTCAGCCCCGACAGCGGCAGCTGGCAGAACCTGCAGATACTCCCTGGTGGTCACCTGGATTGGGTTCGCGACGTAGCCTGGTCACCCACGGTCCTATCAAAGTCATACATTGCCTCTGCCTCTCAGGATAAAACTGTCATCATCTGGACCTCTTCGGACTTGCGAGGCGAATGGAAGCGCACTAAGCTGGATGTTGATGCCGCAGCCTGGCGCGTCAGTTGGAGCTTGAGTGGCAATGCCTTGGCTGTGAGCACTGGCGACAACAGAGTCAGTCTCTGGAAGGAGCGGCTCAGTGGCGGATGGGAATGCGTCAAGACAATTGAGGAGTAGACTGCCGTGCAAAAAGAGAGCCGAACCCTGTAGTACATCCAAACTCAGACAGTCGAGTGTAATCATACATGAGGAATGCCTATTTGCCAATCTGAAGAAGTACTTCGTATTCCACGCGCTGACAAGACTAATGCATCTGCTAAAACTAGGATCAATTGTAATCTAGGCGCGAGGCAAGGATGACTACAGTAATCATTCCTGGCTGTAGCGTAATGAAAGTCAAGGTTGCTTCTCAAGCTCTTTTATTCTTAACACTTTTCATGGCTCGTTATACTGTTGCTACCAGTTCTCTTATCACTACTTTGGAAGATGCTGGAAAGATATAACCCGAGAGAATGTTTAAGCGTAGGTTGAACGCATCTGAGTTCGTGTCCAGGAGACTACCCAGGTTCGAATGCGAGTACCAAGAGGGTAAGAATGGCAAAGACTTGGAGAATAAAAGAAGATTGGCAGTATACCGGGAAACTTGCCGAAATGGGATCATGTCTATAAGTACCTTGATCGCTACGGCAGGTAGAGACTTTTAGAAGACTCCTCTATAAGCCTTGCGTACTGGTCTCCCCCCCCTCAGTTTAACTCTCAAGCCTTCCTTGAGCTACTTCACAGCCACTCCATCACGCCAACCTAATAATCATCTGAAATTCCAGGATTGATTATCACAGTGCACTCTCTAGAACTCAAGCTATATAGTTGATTGTCGAAGGTGTGTTAATCAGCGCAATCGCAGTTATGGTAGCACGAAACCAGGCAGGATTTTACTCCATCTTCAATGTAGTTAGTGAAAGGTACTGATTTATATATATATATGTGTGTGTGTATGCATATTGTGCAGTAGATAACGTATAGTGGCATCCCATGGCACCACTAGGACAGGTTCTGGCAGATACTGCGCTGACAGTGAGAAGAATGATGAGGGTGGAGAGGCTCTTCATGTTGGTTTGATGGGTAGATGAAACATGGTGGTTTGGATGGAGGGGAGTTTTTTTTTAGTAAAGATGCTATATTCGTTGCAAAAGGGGATAGAAACTTATATAGTAACGACTGACAATCAACTTTGAGTTGAGGTGGAAAATGAGTATCAGGAGATTGTTGGTCAAATGCGGCACGGTCATCAGTTTTCCTCGGTCCACCAATTAATCTGCTATCTAGCCTCCAGTTGGTAGTGGCTACGTTAGTTTCTCCCACCAAATCACCGCAGTGTTCGCTATTTTAAAACTTAATTAGGTGGTACTGGTATACAGGGGTGTAACGGCACAGGCAAGAAGTATCGGATTCGTTTCGGACGTAAGGTCACTCAGAAGTATATGGGAGAACGTGGGACACAATTAATCCAAGAATCTGATGAAACACCTATAGGCCTTTTACGAAAGGATATCGAAAAACTACAGAATAAGCTATCATAGATGTTTGGGTTTATATCCTATCAGCTCTAGTCCCGCCTATTACTAAGCTCTCTCCTTTCCTCTTTTTTTTTATTTTTTTATTTTGGTTTAGCGTCCTGTGTCAGCCGGTAGGCTATATAAGACGTGCAGGCTGGGCCTACAAGTATCTACGTAGTTCTATCAATTTGGTGTTGGTGGGGGAGGGGGCTATCTAAATCGAGGTGAG